CACCCGGCCCACCCCGGCCCGACGGGAACCGGAAACGAAGCGGAGCCCCGTCTCCAGGAAGGGCGGGGGGGGCGGGGAGCCGCTGGGGATGTCGAGGGTAGAGTGAAACCTAACACACCGGGGCTGCCCCGGGCCTGGCTCGAGGGGGAGAGCCCTCGTGTATCAAGCGCCAGGCGCCGCGAGTTCAAACCCCGCTTCTGCGAAACAGATGCGCACCCACGTGAAGACAATAACGGTGACTCCGTTTGCAAGCAGCTGCTAGCGCGTCCTCGAAAGGAAAAGGGGTTTGAAGGCAGGGCAAGGGAAGCGACCAAGGACGGGAAGAGCTTTAGACAGATGGCAAATGTCGACATAGGTAGTTGGGCTTATCAGTGTGTGTGTATGGGGTGTGCGTGCGCGTGTGCGGCACACGTGCCAGGACTGAACTTGAACTCGGCACTAGCCCAGCTGGCGCTCTTCCACTTCAGTTCCACTTCCAGTTTTGGGCTGGTTAATCGGACATAAGAATCTTACAGATTTATTGTTTGCCCTGGCTTGGCCCTGAACTGGGATGCTCAGATCTCAGCCTCCTGAGTAGCTAGGATTACAGGCGTGAGCCCCTGGGCTCCTGGCTTCAGGCAATTGTATTTTGGGGAGATGATAGTTGTTCTAAAAAAGAGACCACCAGTTTCCTCTGTATCTCAGAGGACCTCAAAATAGAACGACAGGATTTGATTAAATGGTAGTGTATTCCAGATAGTTGTAAACATTAAGGAAGTGCCATCAAGAAAGGTAAAGATGGGCTGGGAAGGTGGCTCAGTGGTAGAGCGCTTGCCTTGGATGCATGAGGCCCTGGGTTCGATTCCTCAGCACCACATAAGCAAAAAGAAAAAAGCTGGAAGTGGCGCTGTGGCTCAAGTGGTAGAACACTAGCCTTGAGCTGAAGAGCTGAGGGACAGCGCCCAGGCCCAGAGTTCAGGCTCCACGACCGGACCCCCCCCCCAAAAAAAAAAAAAGAAAAGAAAAGTAAATTAAAGATAAGTCGACTTTCTTGGCATTTCAAAGCCACCATAGCATGTGAAGCAGCAATAGCACATCTCAGTCTTCAGGAGTGAGGGTTTTGTAGCATTAAGGGATACATTGGCAAATCTAAAATTCCCAAAAGCACACGCAAATATTACTTGCAATGTTACTGGGGAAATGTTTTGCAAATTGTGTGAGAAGATATACATTTTAAAAATTAACGCAAGGTGACCGGGACGTAGCTCAAGAATAGAATACGCTAGCATGTGCAAGGGCCTGAGTTCAATCCCAAGCACCGTAAAAAACAAGAGCAGCAACCTAGGAAAAGAAATGATATCCCCTAGACTTGTACAGTGTGTGCAACTTTACCATAGGTCCTGGAGAGCGAACTTCCCTTCTATCTGAGGTCCTGTAAACCAGGAGGTGATTTCTTCACTGACAAGGAAGTACCATCTACCTGCTCTTGGTTTTTGTTAAGACAAATTCTCTCACTCCATAGTCCATACTGGCCTCCACCAATCTCCCCGGTGCTGAGATTATAAGTGTGCGTCACCATACCTGGTCTCCCCCAATTCTGTAGGCACTGATCCTGTTACTTACAAATGAAGATGGCAAAGTGCATTGTTGAGTGGATTCGAGGATCCGATCTTGTCAGGACTCCTGATTGTTCTCTGATTCTGGCATCTCCTGTTCTGTCCCTACAGTTACTCCACGTGAGCTGTCTATAGAACAGTCAGCAACAAGAGAGATTTCCACCTGTGGACAGATGTTCTTAATAAGCAGGCCGGGAAGGTGGCTTAGTGGTAGAGTGCTTGCCTGACATGCATGAAGCCCTGGGTTCAATTCCTCAGTACCACATACACAGAAAAAAAAAAAGCCAGAAGTGGCGCTGTGGCTCAGGTGGTAGAGCGCTGCTAGCCTTGAGCACAGAGAGGCTCAGGGACACAGAGTCCAGACACTGAATTCAACACCCAGGATGCCACACCCCCTCCCCCCCCAACCAAAGCAATCTTCTTAAGCTCCCAGAAGGGACCCTTCTAGCTCCAGCCCAGTACCACCTGGTCCCTTGGAACTGCTTCTGTGTGCTATGATTTTTTACCTTCTTTGGTCACAGCTGAGAACCTCTGCTTGTTTTCCGAGGGAGCTGGAGGCATGGCTCAGGGCCAGAGTGCCTGCCTGCCAAGCATGAGGCCCAAGTTCAAAGCCATAGTGTTTCCAAAGCTCCAGGGAACATTCACCTCTGCCTTGAGACTCAAGTTCTCCTACGTGCTGGAAACGTTTTTTTTTTTTTCACCAGTCCTGGGGCTTGAACTCAGGGCCTGAGCACCATCCCTGAGCCTCTCTGTGCTCAAGGCTAACTCTCTACCACTTTTGAGCTACAGCGCCACTTCTGGCTTCTTCTGTGTATGTGGTCTGGAGGAATCGAACCCAGGGCTTCATGCATGCTAGGCAAGCCCTCTACCACGGAGCCACCTGCCCAGCCCTGTGCCATACACTCTGCAGCCTAATGAGTCTCCTGCACCCTGTTTCTCCCAGGCACATGCTCGCGATCACATGGAGAGTGAAAGCGCAGACTCACCATGAAAACCAGCCCCCGGCGGCCACTGATTCTCAAAAGACGGAGGCTGCCCCTTCCTGTCCAGAATGCCCCAGCAGAGGCAACAAAGGAGGAGCCCAAGGGGCCCCCTGCCCCACAGGACCCCCCTCCTGCAGGAGCCCCGGCCTCCGCGGGGTCAACGGAGTCCAGCTCCTGCAAGTTCCCAGCGGGAATTAAGATCATCAACCACCCCACCATGCCCAACACGCAAGTGGTGGCCATCCCCAGCAACGCCGACGTGCAGAGCATCATCACCGCTCTGACGGCCAAGGGAAAGGAGAGCGGCAGCAGCGGGCCCAACAAATTCATCCTCATCAGCTGCGGGCGGGCGCCCCAGCCTCAGGCCCGAGCCCAGGGTGACCCCAAGAGGACAGACGGCGGGCCCCAGACGGCCGACCCGAAGCCTGCTGCCAGGAATGTAAACGCAAGCCAGTCGCCCACAGCTGCTCCGAGGCTGGGGGCTGAGAGCTGTGGTATGTGCGCTGCACAGGAGGGAGGGGGATGGGGGGGGGAGGCTGCACTTCCGGCTTCTTGGCAAGGTCCACCCTCGGTCAGTCATGGGATACCTGCCATAGACAGGCATCCTAGCTCTGCCTGGAGGTCCTGTCTTCCTTCATCCTGGGCCCCTGTTGAGATTTCAGTGATAATGTCGCATTTCCTTTAGCCTTCTTTACACTGGAAAAGGATTTCGTTTGTTAAGAGAGTAAATGATTTATTAGTGGGCGTTGGTGGCTCACGCCTGTCATCCTAGCTGTTCGGGAGGCTGAGATCGGAGAATTGAGGTTCAAAGCCAGCATGGGCTTTGAAAAAAGTCCATGAGACTTTTTTTCTCCAGTGACTCACCAGGAAACCAGAAGTGGCTCTGTGGCTCACAAGTGGTAGAGCGCCAGCCTTGGGCCCAAATTGGCTCAAGGCAGGCATGCATCCCACGTGGAGTATTTTTACTTATTTCACTGGGAGCCACGGGCACCTGGCGTCAAAGGAGCAGCTGAGAAGCATGGGGAGGAAACTCGATTTTGTGCAAATAAGCAATAACCCATCTGTAAGATTGCCTTGCCTCGTGTCAAAGATTCCGTCTGAGCCAGGCGCTGGTGGCTCACCCTGCGATCCTAGCTAATCAGGAGGCTGAGATCTGAGGATCAGAGGTTTGAAACCAGCCCGGGCAGGAAAGTCCATAAGACTCTTATCTCCAGCAAAGCATCAAGCTATGGCTCAAGTAGTAAGAGCATAAAAGCTCAAGGATAGAGACAGAACCCAGACTCCTTGAGTGTAAGCCCCAGGATCCATCTGGCTCCTATTGGAATGCACTTTGAACTGTGCTGGGTTTCTCCTGAAGTCTACAACTTGGTAAACTAAGAGTAGAGGTCAAGGGGGGTGGGGGGGGCCGCTCGTTACCAACTGTGGGTCTGTTAGGCATCTGGTGAGGGAGACATTGAAGTCTCAATTGTTCCCTCTAGCTGGTGGTGAGGCGGCGGGCTGCGTTCTGGACAGCAGCCTGACCAACATCCAGTGGCTTGGGAAAATGAGCTCGGACGGGCTGGGCCCCTGTGACGTGAAGCAAGAGGCGGAGGACAAGGAGAACTTCCCCCTGGAGCAGAATCACATCAAGGTAAACTGTTCCCTCCTCCCCGAGAAGTCGGTCAGTGCCACGAGTGTGCTAAGTCTGAACTCGGCCTTGGGCTTCCTAGGCAGCTGCTCTACCACTGGGGCTACACCCCGGCCCTTTTTTGGCTTTAGTTGTGGGGACAGGGGCGGGGGGGGGGTGGAGGAGACAGGTACTGGGGTTTGAACTCAGGGCCTTGGTCTCTCCATTGGGCCACAGCTCCACTTCCAGCTTCGTGGTATTTAGTCAGAGATGAGAGTCTGGTGGACCTTGCCTGCCCAAGGTTGGCTTTGAGCCGTGATCCTTAGATTCCAGCCTCCTGAGTAGCTAGGATCGCAGTCGGGAGCCACCCAACGCCTAGCTCAGTTTTTAAAACTGAACGATGAAATCTTTTATCTGAGACCTAGCAAAATCCATGAGCTCTGGAGATACTTGTTACCTGCTTGCGAGTGTGTCTCTTCGCAAGCATTGAAATGGGTTATTCACGTCAGCAAGAGGCATAGAACTCATTGAGCCAGGAGTCTGCAAAACGGGCATGGGTTAATAGAAAACCAGGGCTTCCAATAAAGACGTTTCAATTGGATCTTTTCTGTCATCGGACAACAAAATAATGATAGGTAAGCGTGCGACGGGTTGTGTGTCTGGTACACTTCTGGGACCCGGAGGCCTCTGCGGTGGGGCCGGTCCTCAGGAACGCGTCTGTTGTCATCCCCCCCTCTCCCCCCCCCTCCCTTGGGCATGTCTTTCCCCACAGGTGGAGGAGCCATCCGGAGCGCCGGCATCCTGGCAGGACTCTGTGTCTGAACGGCCACCCTACTCCTACATGGCTATGATCCAATTTGCCATCAACAGCACGGAGCGGAAGCGCATGACCTTGAAGGACATCTACACTTGGATCGAGGACCACTTCCCCTACTTCAAGCACATTGCCAAGCCGGGCTGGAAGGTAATCTGCCCCCTGGCCGCCGAGGCCCAAGGTCACTGGGGCCTTCCGGTGTGCACCTGGGGCGTGGGTCACCTGCAGAATGGCCTGATGCGGTGAGCTCAGGCCTGTCACCGCTTCCTGCATCAGTCTTTGAGGCTTGTGGGGAGAATTCAGGAGTGGTAGCACCCCCCCCCTTTGTGCCACAAGCCATCCAAGAGACCACAGCAGGAGCAGGGGTGTGTGTGTGTGTGTGTGTGTGTGTGTGTGTGTGTGTGTGTGTGTGTGATGAGTCTTGAACTCCGGGCCTGGGTGCTGACCTTCAGCTCAAGGCTGGCGCTCTACCACTTGGGCCACAGCACCACTTCCAGTTTTCTGAGTGGTTTATTGGAGATTAGAGTCTCAAAGACATTCCTGCCTGAGCTAGGTCTACAGTGTGCAGGCTGAGGGAGAGGTGATATCCCTGAAGCTAGATCTAGTGATAATAGTGATCTCTCTTGGCTTGAACTCTGGGCTTGGGCACAATCCCTAAGCTGTTTCCACTCAAGACTAGCGTGCAACCACTTGACCTACAGAGCTACTTCTGATCATTTATTAGAGATAAAGAATCTCACAGATGCCACTGCCCGGAGCTGGCTTCAAACTGCGATCCTCAGATCTCAGCTTCTGAATAGCGGCGTGAATGACTGCTACCCGACTGACTAGGCATCTTTCTCCTTCAGAATTCTATCCGGCACAACCTCTCCCTCCACGACATGTTTGTCCGGGAGACGTCGGGCAATGGCAAGGTCTCTTTCTGGACCATTCACCCCAGTGCCAACCGCTACCTGACGCTGGACCAGGTGTTCAAGGTGAGACTCTCGACCCGTTCTTCCTGGATCAGAAGTTCAGCAACCCATGAGACCCACTGATAAATCCCGCCTGGCCGCCCCTGTGCTAGAGGACAATACAGAGCTGGGCGGGGGCAGTGTTTCCCTGGAACACTTCATACTGTGCGGCTTTCCTGCCTCCTGATTCCACGTGTCTGGAGGGGGGATCCAGGAATCTGTATTTTCAGCAAGCATCTCAGTGGGGTAGGGAGAGTGGGGTTCTTAGAGCCACAGATATCAGGCCGGGCGCGGGTGGCTCATGCCTGTCATCCCAGCTACTCAGAAGGCTGAGATCTGAGGATCAGCAGTTCCAAGCCAGCCCGGGCAGAAAAGTTCCCTGAGACTCAGAAAACTAGAAGTGGTGCTATGGCTCAAGTGGTAGAGCACTGGCCTTGAGCTGAAGAGCTCAGGGAGAGCGCCCAGGCCCTGAGTTCAAGTCCCACAACCAACGGAAAACAAAACACTAGAGATCAGAAACACAGCCGTTCCCCGGCACCTTTCTCTCCGGAAGCTGTGTGTAGCTTTGGGACTCCGGAGGGCCCGGGCGCTCCCCTGGGACGGGTGTCCGTCTGTCTTGCCAGGCTGGTCAGCTTGGCCACCTCGGTGGTGACTTGGTGTTCTTTCTCTCCCACCATGCCTGGCCGCCACCAGCCAGTGGACGCAGGATCTCCACAGTCACCGCAGGCCCTGGAGTCAGTTAGGTTTTTCCCTTGCTGGGGGCTTGGCCCGTGTCTCCTCCCGTGTCTCCTCCCGCGCCTCAGCATGCCTTTAGTGGGGAGGGGAGGGAGCCGATGGCCGAGGGCCTGGCAGGCCCCGTATGCGGAGTGGGGGGGGGTGTACCCCTCCCTCCCCTCGACTCCCACGGGGCTCCAAGAGGTGCACAGAGCAGAGCAGGGCGGGAAGGGCATCTAGGAGGCCTTGTCTCCACCCACCCGCGGCCATCTCTTCCTGAGCTGTCCACCGCGATGCACCAGCTTGCGCTGACGGGGTTCTGAGCCTGAGGTTCTTAACTCCTTAATCCTGGTCTCCCCCGCCCCGCCCCGCCCCGCCATGCTATGCGCAGCAGCAGAAGCGGCCCACCCCGGAGCTCCGCCGCAACATCGTCATCAACGCCGAACTCCCGCTGGGCGCACGTGAGTCTGACCGTGCGTGCAGGCCGGCCTGCTTCCCCGGGGCGGGCGCCCCGCGGTCCTCTCCCCGCCAGCCCCCTGCCCCTCACCCCTCCTCTCCCCTCCCAGGGCGGAAGATGAAGCCGCTGCTGCCGCGCGTCAGCTCCTACCTGGTGCCCATCCAGTTCCCCGCGAGCCAGCCGCTGGTGCTGCAGCCCTCGGCCAAGGTGCCCCTGCCCCTGGCCACCTCGCTCGTGGGCTCGGAGCTGGCTCAGCACGGCAAGCGCGTGCGCATCGCCCCCAAGGTGAGCGGAACTCCAGTGCCACCAACACGGGCCAGCTTCTGGGCAGAGAGGAGGGCGGATGCCCGCGAAGGCCTGTGGCATTGGTGGGGTGCAGACCAGGCACTCGGGGCCGGTGCCCGGGACAGTGACAGAGGAGGCCGCGAGGCCGGCCGGGGAGGAGAGCAGCAAGGCCCTCGTGCCCGGGCCTGGTGCAGCGGGAGCCGCCCTCGCCTGCTTCTCAGTCTCCAGTGGGAGACACTGAGGGCTGGATAACTGTTTGTGGGAGTTGGGGTGATGCCGTCCCAGGTGTCCCCGGGAGGGCGGGGGGCGGGGCCCAGGCCCGGCCCAGAGCCCAGGTCTTCGGTCCAGGGAGGAGGGGAGGGGAAGGGAGCGCCGTCTGTAGTCGCCAGATCTGGACTTGGCTGTGGGGAGAAGGCGCTGTGGGCAGGGCTGCTGTGCCAGGGCCGGGGACACCTGTCCCCTCCGGAAGGCCCGAGGGGGGTGGCTGAATGATACTCCGGGGTTCGCAGAGAAGCAGATCGTGCGTGCTCGCTCTCTTCCGTTCCCCCTCTGCCCCTCCCTGACCTCCCTCCTCCTCTCCTTCCCGTCCTGTTTTCCTCCCTTCCTTTCACCAGCTCTTCCTTCCCTCTGTCTGTCTGTACAAGCTCACGTTGAACTTGAATTCCTCCTACCTCAACCTCCTTACTACTAGGATTACATACTTGACCCTCCCTCCCTCCCTGCCTCCTTCCTTCCTTCCTTCCTGTTGGTGATGGGACTTGAACTCAGGGCTTGGGCAATCCCCAGACTTTTTTGCTACCACTTTGAGCCACAGCTCTACTTCTTGTTTTCTGGTGGTTCACTGGAGATAAGAGTTACAGAGATTTGTGCCTGGGCTGGCTTTGAACCATGACACTCAGATCTCAGCCTCCTGGGTAGTTAGGATTGTAGGCGTGAGCCACCAGTGCCTGGTTTGCCTTTCTTTCTTTCTTTCTAATTACAAACTTTTTTTTTTTTTTTTGGTTGGATCGTGGGGCCTGAACTCAGGGCCTGGGCGCTGTCCCTCAGCTCTTCAGCTCAAGGCTGGCGCTCTACCACTCTCAGTGCCAGTTCCTGCTTTTTTTTTTCTACTTATGTGGTGCTGAGGAATCGAACCCAGGGCTTCCTGCATGCAAGGCAAGCGCTCTACCACTGAGCCACCTTCCCAGCCCTAATTACAAACTTTTATAGAGCCAAATGCCTGTAATCCTAGCTAGTAAGGAGACTGGTATGGCGTATCTTGGTTCGAAGCCAGGCAGATAGACCAGACCAAGACTCTTACCTCCAATTACCCAACAGAAAGCCAGAGTTGGAGATGCTGCTCAAGTAGTCAAGTGATAGCGTTGAATAGAAAAAGCCAATCAAGAGTGTGGAGACCCTGAGTCCAAATCCCAATGCCTCACAAAAATAATATAATCTGCCCTCTTCATTAAGATGCTACCTTCTCATACTTACAGATTTTCTTCTTCTTTTTTTTTTTTGGGGGGGGGGTCCAGTCGTGGGGCCTGAACTCTGGGCCTGGGCGCTGTCCCTCAGCTCTTCACCTCAAGGCTAGCGCTCTACCACTTGAGCCACAGCGCCACTTCTAGCTTTTTTTTTCTTTTTGCTTATGTGGTGATGAGGAATCGAACCCAGGGCTTCAGGCATGCAAGGCAAGCGCTCTACCACTGAGCCACCTGCCCAGCCCCTCATACTTACAGATTTTCTAAGAGTTTAGAAAAACAAGACACTGGGTGCCTGTGGCTCCCGCCTGTCATCCCAGCTCCTCAGGAGGCTGAGATCTGAGGATCGAGGTTCAAAGCCAGCCTGGGCAGGAACGTCCATGAGACTCTGATCTCCCATGAACCACCAGAAAACCAGAAGTGGTACTGTGGCTCAAGGGGAAGAGTGCTCGCTTTGAGCTGAAGAGCTGAGGGACAGCGCCCAGGCCCTGAGTTCAGGCCCCATGACCAACATAATTGATTAATTAATTAATAAGACAGGAAAGCTGAGGGGCTGGCTCAGTGCTGGAGCACTTTCCGAGCACCAGCGGGAGATCTCAAGAGGCTCGGCCCCATGCCCACGGTCCTCTCCCCTCCCCGCCACGTCTGTCCCAGGGTCTGCTGACCGACGAAGGCGTCGCCCCTCTGCCCACGGCCGGCCCCGTGAAGGAGGAGCCCCTGCTCGGGGAGGGATCGCTGCTGCCCTTGCTGCCCGTCCGGTCCATCAAGGAGGAGGAGAGCCAGCCCGAGGACGACGTGGCCCTCCCCACGAGACCCATCAAGGTGGAGAGCCCCCCGCTGGAGGCGTGCCCCTCCCCGTGCCCGTCCCCCCGCGAGGACTCGTCCTGCTCCCCCACGCCGCGCCGCCGGAAGCCGTGCGGCGGCCTCTGCTCCCCGGCCCGCTGCGTGTCCGAGATGCTGCTCCTGCAGCGCCGGGAGCGCAGGGAGATGAGCCGCTCGCGCAGGAAGCAGCACCTGCGCCCGCCGCGCCTCGACGAGCCCGAGCTGCTCTTCGACGCCCCGCTCCTGCCCGACGCCTCCGAGCCCGAGGAGGCCGGGCCCTTCAAGACGCCCGTCAAGGACACGCTGCCCGCCTCCTCCACCCCCAGCAAGTCCGTCCTGCCCAGAACCCCCGAGTCCTGGAGGCTCACCCCCCCGGCCAAAGTGGGGCCCCTAGACTTCAGCCCGGTGCGCGCGCCGCCTGGGGCCTTCACGCTGCCCGAGCCGCTCGCGCTGCCCGGGCTCAGCACCACGCCGCTCAAGAACGTACCCCTCTTCGACTCCCCCCGGGAGCTGCTCAACGCCGAGCCCTTCCACCTCGGCTCCGACCCCTTCGGCAGCTCCTGCCCCTCCGACCTCGAGGCCCCCAAGCCGGGCTCCCCGGACCCGCAGGGCCCCGGCCCGTCGGCCAACCGGTCCCTCACGGAAGGCCTGGTCCTGGACACCATGAACGACAGCCTGAGCAAGATCCTGCTGGACATCAGCTTCCCCGGCCTGGAGGACGACCCGCTGGGCCCCGACAGCAACTGGTCTCAGTTCATCCCCGAGCTGCGGTAGAGGCTGGGCCTCCGCCGCCGGGCCTCCGTGCAACCCCGGGCCTCTGCCCGGAGCACAGCGGGCCCGAGCCACGTTGCACACGCAGGCGGTGGCCGCTGCGGGCAGCAGCGCCTGCCCAGAGAACCTTCACGCTCTGCCCCCCGGGCCTCCCCACCCCCGCCCCACGCTTTGTGGGGTGCCTCCTGCCAATGGTGTAAATCCTCCAGATCCTCCTCTAGTTACACACGGGAGCTCATCCTGGGGATCATTACCCACAGGCTGCTGGGGGGAAGGAGGGGGGCACCTGCAGGGTACAGAGTACTCAGGCCTGAGGCACTCCGGGGTGGGGGGGCTCCCTGCTTTGTTGGGGTTCCCCTCCCCTGTCCTCCCTCCCCAGGCCAGGTAACCGGATCTCTGGTACTGGGTGAAGAGTTGAATTTGGGGGTGAGGGAACCCAGATGCCTCCCCCCCCCATCTCTCCGATCATGCCCCTGATGGTGCCAGGGAGACCCGGCACTGAAGAGAAGGCGGCCGGAGGTGGGAGCGGCAGAGGCCCCCGACCTGCCTGGCCCCCCCAGCCTGCCCCTCAGCTTTGCAAAGGGCCCCCCCACCCTGAGGCCCCACCTCCAGAACACTACCTACCTGCTGAATAAAACCCGGGTGCAAGTGCTGCTGGCCGCACTGCTGGTATTTGGGGGGGGGAGGGGGAGGCGTAGCTTTGGCCCCAGGCCCCTCCCCTGGGGCCTTTCTCTGACACGGCCAGCTTCCCAGAGTGTCCAGCCCCCCCCCCCACACACACACAGAAGGACAAAGCGGAAGCCAGCTCGGCTTCCGTCCTCCGACAAGAAGCAGCTATGGGATTCCCTTGGTGGGGCTTGAACTCTGTCCCCAAGGCTATCTCTCTACTGCTTTGAGCCACGTCCAGTTTTCTGGTGGTTCACGGGCGATCAGAGTCACAGGCTTTCCTGCCCAGGCCCGTGTTGAATCCCGATCCTCCCATCTCAGCCTCCTGAATAATGGATTATAGGCGGGAGTCACTGGTGCCGGCCCCCAGAAGCGGCTGATTAGTCCTGTGACCTCTGCCTGGCTCCCAGAAAGGGAGCCAGGACCCCCAGGGACTGAGGAGCCTCCAGGGACAGGTCAGGGCCTCCTCCCTGTAGCACCAGCCAGGGAGCATCACCATAGCAACCCCAGCAGCAAACAATGGTGCCTGAAAGGCCTTCCCCACCAAGCCACCTGCCCTGGGCCTGGTCCTGAGGCTCAGAAACATGGCCAGCAAGCCAGGAAGATCACTCCAAGGGCCCCGGGGGTACCAGCAGCAGCCCACAGAAGCATCTAGAGTCAGGCAGCCTTTCCTGCAGGTAGGGGCGGGCCTTCCTGTCTGGGCCGGGAGCTGTTGACAAATGGAGGTGCTTTCTCCAGACCTCGGGGCCTCTCTCCTCCCCTCCACCTTGGGCCCCAATCAATGTGGATCTTAGAACCTGGGCACTGGGTGGCCCCCGCCCGTCATCCCAGCTACTCAGGAGGCTGAGATCTGAGGATGGCGGTTCAAAGCCAGCCCGGGCAGGAAGGTCTGTGAGACTCTTATCTCCAATAAACCACTCAAAAAGCTGGAGGGAGAGCTGTGGCTCAAGTGGTAGAGCACTAGCTTTGAATAAAAGCAGCTCAGGGACAGCGCCCAGGCCCTGAGTTCAAGCCCTGGGACCAGCACATACACACACTCCCTTACCCAAGCTTCTGTGGTCAGCCTCCTTTAACTGTTCTCAGAGTTGGGAATATTCTTGGATTTGGGAATATCTGCATGTGAACCCGGAGGTTATCTCAGGGATGGGACCCAAGAAGGAAGAGGACCTCGGTTATCTTGTCGCTGTGCATTACATACCTAATCTCAGAATGAAGTGGCCCCCTGTTGGTAGCGTGCCTGTGTTCTGGCTCCAACCGGTCTCACAGACGTTCCTGCCCAGGCTGGCTTTGAACCACAATCTTCAGATCTCAGCTTCCTTAGTTGCTAGGATGACAAGGCCTGAGCCGCTGGCGCCCGGCGGGAGAAGCCTTTTGAAAAACGCTCAGCTAGGCCCTGAGTCGGGCTGTGTGCTTCGTGGGGCCTTCCCACAGCTGTGGGTCCAGCGAGCCCCAGCCCTGGGCTCGCCAGTTTGGAGGCTTCAGCCCTCGGTTGCCGCACCCTGCCTCTCTGCGCAGGAGCACAGGACGGGAGCGATGCTCTCCCAGACCCCCTTAAAGCCCTCCCCCGCCCCATGACCTACCAGCCTCTCATTAGGCTCCTCCCCTTCCCCATGCCCCACCCCTTCCTTCCTGATCAAGCCATTAGGACCACAGCCACTGGGAGAAAAGTCACACTTGTGGGTGGTTCCCGCTGGCTCCCGCCTGTCAGCCCAGCTCCTCAGGAGGCTGAGATCTGAGGATCACGGTTCAAAGCCAGCCCAGGCTGGAAAGTCTGTGAGACTCTTATCCCCACTGGGCCATCTGAAAACCGGAAGTGGTGCTACGTGGCTCAAAGTGGTAGAGCGGCAGCCTTGAGCAAGAAGAGCTCAGGGACAGTGCCCAGACCCTGAGTTCAAGCCCCATGACCAACCCAACCAAAAAAAAATCGCCTTTGCTCAGAGCACTTGAGGGTTAAGGGAGACATACCTAAGAACAGAGCACAGAGGCCAAACGGTAGTTCATGGAGGGTGCTGTGCAGAAAAGGGGGGAAATTAACATTCTAGATGCTTCCTAGATTTGCTTGGCTTTGTGTGCATGTGTGCATGTGTGCATGTGTGTGCTGGTATACTGTGGCTTGAACCCAGGACTTGGGTGCTGTCCCTGATCCTTTATTTTTCAATCATAGGGCTTGAACTCAGGGCCTGGGCACTGTCCCTGAGCTCTTTTGCTTAAGGCTAGCATTTTGAGCCACAGCTCCACTTCCGGCTTTTTGGTGGTTCACTGGAGATCAGAGTCTCACAGACTTTCCTGCTCGAGCTGGCTTTGAACCATGATCCTCAGATCTCAGCCTCCTGAGTAGCTGGGATGACAGGCGGGAGCCGCTGGTGCCCAGTTGGTTTGTGTTTTAGTGAGTGGACGAAAGCACCGTTGAGAGAAATTAGAGTCGCCTGGCCCCCGTCACCAGCTCAGACCAGGAGCAAGGGAGGGTGGGCTTCTAGAATGCTTGGGCTGGGCCATCGCCTCTCACAATGTCCCCATCACATCCTCGATTGATGTATCCTCTTGGGAACACCCGTCCCTGGGCAGGAAGAGGGGCCACCAGATGGAGTGGGGTGAAGACAAAGACACAGTTGAGGAAAGGCTGTGAAATTTGAGAGCTCAGGCCAGGGTCCTGTGGCTCCCTCCCGTCATCCCAGCTACTCAGGAGGCTGAGATCGGAGGACCGAGGTTCAAGGCCAGCACAAACGGAGAAGTGGAGCTGTGGCTGAAGTGGTACAGCACCAATCCTGAGCAGAAAGAGGTCAGGACTGTCCAGGTGTCGGTGGCTCCCGCCCGTCACCCCAGCTACTCAGGAGGCTGAGATCTGAGGATTATCGTTTGAAGCCAACCCAGGCAGGAACGTCCGTGAGACTCTCCAATATACTACTCAGAAAAGCCGGAAGTGGCGTTGTGACTCAAGTGGTAGAGCACTAGCCTTGAGCAAACACAGCTCAGGGACAGC